ATAAATAAAATCTTAAAAAAAAAAAGTAAATCTTAAAAGTCCTATTCACAAGGAAAAAAATTATAACAACATGTGGTGATGGATGTTAACTAAATTTACTGTGATCATTTAACAATATATACAAATATTGAACTACTGTGTCACGCACCTGAAACTAATACAACGTTAGACGTCAAATGCCAGTTATATCTCAATTTAAAAAAAAAATTAGCACCAGGGACGCCTGGGTGGCTCAGTTGTTAAGCGTCTGCCTTTGGCTCAGGTCATGATCCCAGGGTCCTGGGATCGAGTCCCACATCGGGCTCCCTGCTCGGCAGGAAGCCTGCTTCTCCCTCTCCCACTCCCCCTGCTTGTGTTCCCTCTCTCTGTCAAATAAATAAATAAAATCTTTAAAAAAATTTTTTTTTAATTTTTTTGACTGCCCGGTGGTCATAAGAGCTGAAGGTGCCAATACGGTTGTTCTCAGCGTGTTGTTTCTGTGGTTTCTCCCGACGGCTGAAACAACAGCCGAGATGTGCTGTGGGATGAAGGATGTGAGGGGCGGTGCCCTGCATCGTCCAAACACATTGTCTGGGTTATTGTCCAGAAGCATTCAGATGTGTTATAATAGTCAGGAGAGGTTATGCTGCTGTCAATCACCAAGCAACAACAAAAAGAGCTAATCAGCTAACCCCACAAACATCTGTTTCTTACTGAGGCATAGCCTGCTCTGGGTCCAGGCAACAATCCACGGCTCCTATCCCGGGACGATGCTCAGTGACTCAGGGATACAGGCGGCTTCTGTCTTGTGACTCCAACCTCCACAAAAGGGAAGATGAAGCCTGGAGAGTCTTGCAGAGACTTTTTGCTGCCTCAAATAGGAAGTGACACATCACTTCTGATCATTATCTGTTGGCCAGAGCAGGTCATATGACCCCGCCTAACACTGGGATGGGTATCTCCTTACAACTGAGAATAAGTTAGCATTAATAATAACCTTTTTCGGAGAAGGTCCCCCTGCCACACATATGATTCCATATGTTTTAATATTTATGGTAAGGCCTTTGTATTAACTTATTTGATCCCAATAATTCCCCAATGAGGTTGGTTTTTTTTTTTTTTTTTTTTCAGATTTATTTGTTATTTATTTGAAGGAGAGAGAGCACAATCTCAAGCAGGTGCTCTCTGAGCGCCAAACCCACTCAGGGCTTGATCCCATGACCCTGAGATCATGACCTGAGCCAAAACCAAGAGCTGGCTGCTTAACTGACTGAGCCACCCAGATGCCCTGAGGTTTGTATTTTTATTCCCATTTTAAAGATGAGGAATTGGGGTGCCTGGGTGGCTCAGTCCTTAAGTGTCTGCCTTCGGCTCAGGTCATGATCCCAGGGTCCTGGGATCGAGCCTGACATTGGGCTCCCTGCTCAGTGAGGAGTCTGCTTCTCCCTCTCCCTCTGCCCCTCCTCACACTTGTGTTCTGTCTGTCTCTCTCTATCTCAAATAAATAAGTAATCTTTAAAAAAAATAAAGATGAGGACTTGAGGCTCAAAGAGGTTCCTAAGATGTTTCTATCCACAGAACACTTTTGTTTATGATTTATGTTTTTAATTGAAGTATAGTTGACATTACCCACAGAACACTTCTGACACCAGATGGTATTGGGCTGGCGGGTTGTGTCATCAATTCTAAAGCTAATTTCCTCTTTGGGGCACTTAGTTTATTTTCAGTTTTTGATTCTTACAAATAATACTGTAATGAGCTGGGTTGGGTTTTCTTTTGACCAAATCTTTGCATACATATTTGTTTTCTTCATATAAATTTCTAAACATAGAATCGAAGGGTTCAGGTGGCATATTTCGAGCCTTCGTAGGTGAATTGCTGAGTGTCCTCCCCATCTCCACCCTCACCCTGGACAGAGTGTGAAATGCCCATTTTCTCTATATACCCACCAACACTGGGTATTAAATATTTGTTTAAAAATCTGTGCAAATTGCTTCAGCGTGATATTTTTAATGCAATTTAATGTCTTCTATCTGAAAAAATAAAAGGTCTTTATTTAAACTGTGAATCCAGGGGTGCCTGGGTGGCTCAGTCGTTAAGCGTCTGCCTTCGGCTCAAGTCATGATCCCAGAGTCCTGGGATCGAGCCCCGCATCAGGCTCCCTGCTCCAGGGGAAGCCTGCTTCTCCCTCTCCCACTCCCCCTGTTTGTGTTCCCTCTCTCGCTGTGTCTCTCTCTGTCAAATAAATAAAATCTTTATTTATTTTTTAATAGATTTTTTAAAGATTTAATAAAATCTTTAAAAAATAAAAAAAAATAATAATAAAGTGTGAATCCAAGGGTGCCTGGCTGGCTCCAGTCAATGAAGCATGGAACTCTTGATTTCAGGGTTGTGAGTTCGAGCCCCACGTGGGGTATAGAGATTACTAAAAATAAACAAGTAATGGGGCGCCTGGGTGGCTCAGTCGTTAAGCGTCTGCCTTCGGCTCAGGTCATGATCCCAGGATCCCGGGATCGAGCCCCGCATCGGGCTCCCTGCTCCATGGGAAGCCTGCTTCTCCCTCTCTCACTCCCCCTGCTTGTGTTCCCTCTCTCGCTGAGTCTTTCTCTGTCAAATAAATAAACAAAATCTTAAAAAAATAAAAATAAACAAGTAAATAAAACTTTTAAAAAATGAATAAAGTTTTTTAAAGTTTATTTAAGTAATCTCTACCCCCAATGTGGGCTCGAACCCATGACCCCGAGATCAAGAGTGGCATGCTCTTCTGATTGAACCAGCCAGGAGCCCTGCCTCCCAAATTTTGAAAGTGTGAATCCAAATGAAGTATGTTAAAACTAGCCTTCATTTGAGGGGTGCCTGGGTGGCTCAGTTGGTTGAGCGACTGCCTTCGGCTCAGGTCATGATCCCGGAGTCCCGGGATCGAGTCCCGCATCGGGCTCCTTGCTCAGCAGGGAGTCGTCTTCTCCCTCTGACCCTACTCGCTTTTGTACTTTCTCTCTCACTCTCTCTCTCAAATAAATAAAAATTTTAAAAAAGTCTTTAAAAAAAAAACTAGCCTTCATTTAAATAGATCTATGTCACAAAAACTAATATTAGATTTATAACCACGTGGCCAAAGTAAAGAGGAAATCAATGTAACTGTCTATTAAAATTAGGCACTTTACAGTGGAGAAATCTGACAGACACTACGTCCATCAGGGGACCAAGTTTCACATCAAGAGTGAGAAATCAGGACTCCTGGGAGGCTCCGTCAGTTAAAGTGTGTGCCCTCAGATCAGGTCATGATCCCAAGGTCCTGGGATCGAGTCCCGCATCAGGCTCCTTGCTCGGTGTGAGCCTGCTTCTCCCTCTCCCTCTGCCTGCTGTTCCCCCTGCTTGTGCTCTCTCTCTCTCTCTCTCTCTCTCTGTGACAAATAAATAAATAAATAAAAGCTTTAAAAAAAAGTGAAAAATCCTAATGGTAGTACAACATCCTTGACATGAGTGATGAGAGGGGCACTTTACCTCAGTGATCTTCCTCCCCAAAATCCATAAGCCCAGCATAATCACGAGAAACACATCAGACAAATCCCAAATGCAGGACATTCTGCATTTATTTTTTTTTTGTTTTTTTTTTAAAGATTTTATTTATTTACTTGAGAGAGCGAGAATGAGAGACGGAGAGAGAGCACATGAGAAGGGGGAGGGTCAGAGGGAGAAGCAGACTCCCTGCTGAGCAGGGAGCCTGATGTGGGACTCGATCCCAGGACTCCAGGATCATGACCTGAGCCGAAGGCAGTCGCTTAACCAACTGAGCCACCCAGGCACCCTGCATTTATTTTTAAGTAATCTCTATACCCAGCGTGGAGCTCGAACTCACAGGCCCAAGCTGAAGGGTCTCATGCTCTACCCACTAAGCCAGCCAGGCGCCCTTGTATGCCTCCATGTATATGAAATATCCTTAATAAGCAAATCCGTAGACAGAAAGTAGATCAGCTGTTGCCAGGGGGCTCAAGGTGGCAGGAATGGGGAGTGACAGGAATGGGGAATGACTACATGCATATGTGGTTTCTTATCAAGGTGAAGAAAATGTCCTAGAATTAGCACAATTTTTTTACATACACTATATTTTTTAAAGATTTTATTTATTTATTTGACAGAGACACAGTGAAAGAGGGAACACAAGCAGGAGGAGTGGGAGAGGGAGAAGCAGGCTTCCTGCTGAGCAGGGAGCCCGACGCGGGGCTCAATCCCAGGACCCTGGGATCATGACCTGAGCCGAAGGCAGACACTTAACGACAGAGCCACCCAGGTGCCCCAAATTAGCACGATTTTTGAATATACTAAATCCCAGTGAAATGGGCACTTTAAAAGGGTGTGTGTTATAGTATATGAATTACATCTCAATTAAAAAGAAAAGTCTGAAAAACCTTCACAACCAAAAGGAGTCTAAGGAGGCAAGACACCCACATGTAATGTGGTTTTCTGGACAGGATTCTGGAACAGAAAAAGTGCATTCAGTAACAGTTACGGAAATCTGAACAAAGTACAGACTTTAGTTAATATCGCGTATCAACATTTGTTGTTTAATTGTGACAAATATATGATAATGTATGATGTTTATAATACAGGAAAATCAGGGGAAAGTGAGTATGGGGTCTGTGGGAATTCTCTGTACTATCTTTGCAGCTTTTCTGTAAATCTAAAACTGTTCTAAAAGTTTATTTTTAGAGGTGCCTGGGTGGCTTAGTCATTTGAGCGTCCGACTCTTGGTTTCAGCTCAGGTCATGATCTCACAGTTGGGGGATTGAGCCCCGCATCGGGCTCTGTGCTCTGCATGGGAGTCTGCTTCAGATTCTCTCTCCCTTTCCCTCCCACTGTCTCTCTCAAATAAATAAAATAAGTAAAATCTTTTTAAAAAAATAGAAGTTTATTAAAAAAAATCACACCCAATTGCAACCTTTTGGGCCACTTAAAAAAAAAATACAAGGGTTCTTGCCTCTAGCTCTAAGAACACAAGTCTATTTTGATTTTTTCATAAGGAAAACTGCCCCTTTGGAAACAGAGCCCCGCTGTGGGCATGTGGGATCACCAGGGAAGCTGCTGGCTGAGCTGAGGATAAACACCAGCGATTCTATTCTCAGTAAGTGGCTCTAACCGCTAACCATCCTTCCTTCCCCGTCAGTGTGTATCATGTCTGGGCCTGAATTATCCTGTCTGGCTAAGTCCTGATTCTGGGAGACTCTTGGTGTTGGAAAACATTGGGAAATTTCAGTGGATTTGCCTGGAAAGAAAAATCTTACTTTTTTTTTTAACAGGTGACTAACTTCAACATGAATGCCAACGCGTATAACAGGAAATCAGATGATGCAAGGCAAAGCAGGAGCATCAGACTTTGAAATGACATGGGGCTTTAGGTGATAGCCAGGCCCGCTGGTTTGCAAGTGCACACTGGTCCAGCCCTGAGAAGCCGCTCTTGCAGAAACACCTAGGAACCTGACTTATTCAGTAGAAAATAACTGCCCCAGAGGTGGGAGTTAGGGTCTTGTGAAAGTTTAAATTAGGAGAAATTATAGTTGAAGAGCTTAAAACCAGAGGGAAACACGGAGGGAATGGACATCACATCTGTGAGCATTCAGAGAAATCATTTAAATTCACTAAGATTATTCTAACAACAACAAAAATAGCAATGAGTAGCATTTTCTGCACATGAAGCAATGCTATGTTTGTTCCCTTTTTAAGAGGAATCCTGTGACCCCTCTCCCCACAAAACCCAGTATTGAAGTTCAGGCCTGAATCACTCTGGATACACACCCCTTGGAGAGGCTTGACCCAAACCAGTTAAAAAAAAAAAAAGAAAGCGCCAAAGAGCCAAATTCTTGGCTTCCACCAGTTCCTAAACAGGCTTTTGAAATTCATGGCAGAGATAATAACCTTGAAAGCCAAGGCTTTTGATTTGCAAGATTCGCAAAAGAGGCTCTTTTTTTTAAACGTCTCTAAACTGGTTTTGAGTAGCAAGACTTTGGATTCAAAAGCAAATCCCTGAAGGAATCTTGGAATAAAGTTTCTGCCACAACAGACAATACATCTGTGGGGGGAACTGATGAAAAGTCATATTATCCTGTCCCTGAGGGTGAAAATGTCCAAAAAACAAAAAACAAAAACAAAAACCCAGAGAGGAGGAATTACAAATTCCAGGGGGCTAAAGAAGGGGAAAAACAGGGTTGGCGGTGAGCTGAGGAGCTAATCATTGTTGCAATTGCCTTCATTATTCCAGTCTATTTCTGTTTTTGTTTTTCTTTTCTTTTTTGTTAAGTAAGCTCTACACCCAACGTGGGGCTTGAACTCATGACCCTGAGATCAGAAGTTGCATATGGTCCACCGACTGAGCCAGCCAGGCGTCCTTATTCTCTCTACTTTTTTGAAATTTTTCATATTAAAAATTCTGCGATTGTTAGTTTTAATGGGGAAGCTGGGAGACCAGCAAGAAGGTTATCACAATCGTGCAGGCAAGAAGTGGTGGTTGTGTGGGCCAGGGTAGCTGAGATGGGGTGGATGTGGGAAGCTGGAGAGAGGCAGATGGATATCTGGTGGTCGCCCACTGCATTAAATCCCCATGCATTTTCCCTCCTCCTTCACCTCAGGAGTTTGCACGCAGTACTCCGGGATGGGGGTGCGGGTAGGTTAAGAGAAGAGCGTGCTAGATTAGCACCGCAGTGGTTCCTGAGAAGGGTCTCTGCCCCATGGAGCCACCTACAGCCTGGAGATGATAGGTACATCCAGATACCTCTGGGTTCCAGTCCAGGAGCCTTGGGAACCTCAAAAGATTTTCAGTAGGCAGTGGCCTGAACAGGTTTTTCAAAACCCTCTCTACCCCAGCTACTGCGTGGAGCACTTCAGAATGGGGAAAGGATGTGCTCTGGTTCATCTACATATCCCTGCTCTTTGCCTCCCATCAGAGAGTTCCCAGCAGATGTTTGCGTGTGAATATAGAAGTGGGTGTGCAATGTCAGAGAATTTGGGGGGCTTTCTGGACAATCCAAAATGTTGGTACGGTGAGTCCAGTCAAGTGGGTAAGAGCACCCATTCTGAGAGCTGGGTTCATATCCTGCCACCATCACTTACCTACCAGCTGTGTGAATCTGGGCAAGGCACTTAACAGTGCCTCGGTTTCCCCATCTGTAAAATGGGGGTGGTAATACTAGCACTAATAATAGTACTTTCCTCATAGGTCTGTTTTGACTCAACTCACGCAATGCCATGCTTTATATAGAGAAAGGCCTCGGGAAAGGCTGGCTGTGATGCGGGGTTAAGAGTACAATAAAGAGGGCGCCCGGGTGGCTCAGTTGGTTGGGCGACTGCCTTCGGCTCGGGTCGTGATCCTGGAGTCCTGGGATCGAGTCCCGCAGTCCCGCATCTAGCTCCCTGCTCGGCGGGGAGTCCGTTTCTCCCTCTGACTCTACCCGCTCTCGTGCTCTCTATCTCATTCTCTCTCTCAAATAAATAAATAAAATCTTAAAAAAAAAAAGAGTACGATAAAGAAACCACTAAAATGCTGCAAACCCTCCTCGTACTGCCAGGAACGCCCAGAAAGTTCCCCCCGGGGTGGGAGTTGTTTTATTCCCCGTTGGCTCTAGCGTGGTGCATAGAGCTCTGCTCCCGGTAGGGGGCGCAGTAAATATTGACTCAACCAGCGAACAAGCCCGGAGTTTCCTATGGACCAGAATTCACCTCTTACGATAACCCCAAACCTAAAAATCCCACAAAAGCAAAAACTGTAACAGAGGGTAATTATTTGAGGGACGACTCCCGAATGTGACAGTGGGTGAGGAAAAGCATCTCTTATCGAAAAGATTGTGTGTGTGTTTTAAGATTTTTAAAGGAATCTCTACACCCAACTCGGGGCTCGAACTCACAGCCCCGAGATCAAGAGTCCCACGTTCCCCTGACTAAGCCAGCCAGGTGCCCCCAAAAGACTGTGTTTTGAGACAAATGTTTGCTCGCTCAGAAAAAGCAGAAAAGGTTTGGGGTGGCAAGCCGCAACAAATAGTCATTAAAGCAAAATTAGTACAGGTCTTAAATTCCCGAGGTTGCAAAACAGCCTGGCTGAGGTCATTTGTGCCTAATTATTGTGCCCAATAATTACCTTGACTAATTAGAGCAAAGGTTTTGGAGTATGTTTCTATTCCCAGACACTGAGTCATCAGTGACCCAGAATAAATCATTTCACTCTATTTGTGTCTTGGATCTTCTGCATGGAAGCACCCTTGGCCAACCCCTCGGGGACATTCCAAAGGCTTCATTAATTAATATTTGGAAAACAATGTAATTTGTATATGTCAGGCCTATAGAAACATGACATCAGTATGTTTTGTATGTTAGGTTCATTTATTTAATTATTCAACTACTCTCCAGGTGCACTCAATATTTATTAAGTACCTCTTCTGAGGTAGGCCCTGAGATAAGAAGTGGGAGTACAAAGTGAACAAGGCAGAGGGGCCCCTGTCCTCACAAAGCTTATAGTCTAGGGGTGGAGGCAGACAGTCAGTAGGTAAAGCAGCAGACAAAAAAATTACAAACTGCTAAGTGCTATGAGGAAAATTAACAGGACTCTGCCACAGGTACTAGTAGAAGAGGTGATCAGGGAGGGCTTCTTAGAGGAGGTGGTCCCCAAGCTGAGACCTGAGGGAACAGCTGGTAGAGTCGGCGCTCTGCATGTATGGAAGGCATGACAGGAAGCAAGACACGGCAGGGGAGTGGCAAGAGTCATAAGTGGTCATGACAAGCACAGACTTTCTGGGTTTGAATCCTGCTCTGCCCCTGCCACTGACTAATAGTTGTGGGGGACAGGGGAGAGCTGGGAACGGGGACTGACTGCTTGGCGGACACGGGTTTCCTTTTGGGGTGATGAAAACATCTTGGAAGAGGATGGAGATGATGGTTGCACAACAGTGTGAACATATTAAACATCACTGAATTGTTCACTTGAAAGTGGTTAAGGTGAATTTTATGCTACGTAAATTTCATCTCGATAAAAAATATCTTAAACACACACACACTGAGCAAAGAGTTTTCCTGCCCTGCAGCTAGGAATGACCTTCTGTCTCCTCCAGCGAGCAGAGGCCTGTTCAGTTCTGCAGACCATGCAGCTCTTACTCCCTAAACCACAAGGAGGGGAATTCAGATCTCCTTGTGGAGGCCCTACTATGTGCTGGGCCCTGTGCCAAGTAGTTCATAGGAACTGTCTCTGTCAACTCTCCTGACCCTCTGTCCTACCTCACTGTTTGATTCCTCACCTTGCTTATCACCAGCTGACATTACAATGTACACACATTATTTGATCATTGTTTCTTTTTTTCTCCCCGGAATGTAAGCTTCGCCGGGGCAGGAGTTTTGTCTGTTTTGTTTACTACCACATTCCTTGTGCCTGGCACATAGTAGGTACTCAATGAATTATTGATTAGGTGGGTTAGATTAAGTATAGATTACCTCACAAGAGAGGGGTTAGCATCTGCAATTTACAGGTGGGGAAATGCGGGTTCAGTGATTTGCTAAGGTCCCAGAATTAGTTAGGAGCAGAGACAGAATTTGAACTCAGGCCATCCGGTGGCAGAGCCTATGCTACAGGGAGATTTCCCTCATCAGCTTCCTAGTCCCTGCTGGGATGAGTTAGAAGTCTGAAAATTAAAGGCATTAGGCCATGACTCATCTCTTAGGCAAGGGAGAGGGAAATCATGACCTGGAGCTGAGTCATCAGTTTTGCTTCCCTCTGTGCTGACTCGTTCATACTCCAGGCCTTGGCCTCCACGAGTTCTGTGCTGGGGTGAGGCCAGGGGCTCACATAGTCCAAGGCTCCTTTCTCATCTTGACTCTGCCCTCTTGGCTGGGACATTATGATGCAGATGAAACCACAGATGTCAGTCCAGGCCAGCCATGCCCAGGGGACTGTGCAGATTTGGACACAAGCATCCGAAGCCATGGTGGGCTCTGAACACCAGCAGTGTGAGACCTCAGAATACACTCCTGCTTTTAGGTTTTCTTGGATGGATGGCACCAGGAGTAACTTATTTAAAACACTAATTAAATCTAACTTTTATTTTTTTTTAAGATTTTATTTAATTATTTCACAGAGACACAGTGAGAGAGGGACCACAAGCAGGGGGAGTGGGAGAGGGAGAAGCAGGCTTCCCTCTGAGCAGGGAGCCCGGTGCACGACTGAGCCACCCAGGTGCCCCTAAATCTAACTTTTATTTATTTATTTATTTTCTGAGGCTTTTTTTTTTAAGATTTTATTTATTTATTTATTTGACAGAGAGAGACACAGCAAGAGAGGGAACACAAGCAGGGGGAGTGGGAGAGGGAGAAGCAGGCTTCCCGCGGAGCAGGGAGCCCGATGTGGGGCTCGATCCCAGGATCTGGGATCATGACCTGAGCCGAAGGCAGACGCTTAATGACTGAGCCACCCAGGCGCCCTAAATCTAACTTTTTAAAAAAAGGCACAAACCTTAACACCAGAAAGAGATGGGTTTGAGATGCAGCTCGGCTGCTTATGAGCTGCGTGCCCTTGGGCATGCTACTTGAGCATTCTGTTCTTCAGGTTCCTCATCTGGAAAATGAGGAAATACCTTCTGCTTCTGAGAGTTGGCAAGAGGACAGAACGGGGCATTTTGAGTGAGGGCTATTTGCACAGCCCAAAGAAGGAGGAAAACATGCTCTAAGGGTATAAAGACAGTGGAATGCTGAGGACTAAACTCTGTGACAGAGGTGGCTGTGGGGTGGAGATGGAGGTAACAAGATTCTGGGTGGGGGCCCCAGGCTGGCTGCTGAGTCAAAGCTTGAGGCTGGACCCATAGCTTAACCTCTAGCAGCTTCCCTTTCTCCAGCTGCACAAGAGTGGGGGTTGGACCATGCCAGACCCTGCCCTGTCCCTCACGGAATGAGAATATTCCACAAAAGGAAGCATATTAATGGATATCACGGCGAGGGATTGGAGGGTGGGAGCTTTAAAACAATTACCCGAGTAGGGGCCCCCGGGTGGCTCAGTCGTTAAGCGTCTGCCTCCGGCTCAGGTCATGACCCCGGGGTCCTGGGATCGAGCCCCGCATCGGGCTCCCTGCTCCGCGGGAAGCCTGCTCCTCCCTCTCCCACTCCCCCTGCTTGTGTTCCCTCTCTCACTGTGTCTCTCTCTGTCAAATACATAAATAAAATCTTTAAAAAAAAAAAAGATATCCACTCACAGAAGATAAT